AGAGGCATATTTTAACCAACCAGGATATTTTGTAATGATGCAGAAACTCAGAGTATAAGGCTTATCCTAAAACACTTTTCTAGTTAGCAGTGGAGTGGTTATCCTATCCATCCCTAGACCATGATGGCTAGTGTTAGTATTCTGTGATCATCCAAGAACATGTTAAATTTAGAGGTGTGATGGTGTTAATGAAACATGAAGCAAGACCTTTTGGGCATGTACCATTCTTAGAAAAGAATGACTGAAACCTTAATAGCTATGTGGCCCCAGGCGTGTTTATTTACTCTCCTTGAAATATCCTCAACGTGAGAGAAGATATTTGCAGTATATGCAACTGACATGGGACTCCTAGCCAGAATATATACAGAACTCTTACAAATCAATAAGAAGAACACAGATAGGAAAGCCAATAGGAAAGTAGGCAAGTGATTTGAACAGGGATTACATGAAAGTAGATAGCCAAATGGCCAAAAAAAAAAAAAGTGAAAATGTGTTTTACTGAATTAGTTTCCAGGGAAATGCAAAGTAAAGCCACAGGGCAATAGTGCTCTAGCCCTACCAGACTGGCTTAAATTTAAGGCTGATAATACCAAGTTTTGGCCAAGATGTAGAGCTTTAAGAACTCTCACACACTGGTAATAGGAGTGGAAATTGGTAGCATTTGCTTCGGAAAACTGTGTGGCCATACCTACTGAAGTTTGAAATATGCATGCTTTATGCTCTAACAATTCCACTTCTAGTATTTATTTAATATAAATGCATACATATATCTACTAAAGATGTATATTAAAATGCTCATAGCAGCATTCTTCATAGTAGCCCAGATTTGGAAAAAACACAGATGTCCATCAACTGATGAATGGATAAAAAAATTTAGTGTAGTATATCTGTTCAGTTTCAACATCCTGTGTTTTATAGCCCACATTGGCTGTGGAGTGCATTTCCCCTCTGTTTCCATGCTGAAGTGATTTCAAGGGCAGAATAGGCTGTTATAATTCATATTTCCTAAGCTTCTAGGTAAGGGCTTATTGAGTTCTTTCATATCTATCATGATTCAGTGTTTTGAGTAGCTGTGTGAGGTTACCAGTGTTCTCCTATTTCACAGATGAGAAAACTGAGGCCCACAGAAGTGAGATGATGTCATCTAGCTGTTTACAGGTCCACATTGCCAGGCAGAATGGGAGCTGATTATGGCTAGTTTGTGTGTGGCTAGTTTTTATTTCTGTCCCTCCAATAGCTCAAGCAAAATGCCAGTCAATAAATCTAAGAAGAATCAACTTAGTAAGAAATTATTTTACTCTGCTGTTCAATGTTACAATGCTGGCAAGGTCATTGAAAACACAAAATCACTGTTAATTACAGCATCAAGACCATTGGAAATGGCAGCCTTTTTCTATCCCTCTCATGCTAAGAATTGCACTGTTTCAAATGGTTCTGAGCAGTGTATATGTGTGGTGGGGGTCCCTCCAAGTAGGGGGAGGGTTATGGAAGTCTTTTAAGCCCCCAGGCACAGATGTCCAGTCTTTTAAGGAGGCACATACCCAAATGACTCCCATCTGCACCATGATTTGCAAAGCATGTCCATGCACACGGACTTACTTGATCTTCCCAGGGACTCAGGTAGTGGACATCATTTTGCTACTGTTTTATAGAGAAGAACATAAAGGTTTTGAACATCTGAGTGATTTTTCCCAGCCCTCCAGCTTCTGCAGGGCAGAGGTAAGTCACAAACCCAAGACCAAATCTGGGAAATCCCTTATGCTACACGGAGCTTGCAGATGGCAGCTCCCAACCCTTCGCATGTTCCGGGCCTCCTGACGGGTACGTTCTCTCACCTTCCTCCCACCACTCCTACCATATGTGCCATTCTTCATGAGTCTCTTCCAGGATGTCCAGATGTAGCAGCCTCCAAGGCTATTCTCTGAACTCTCAGCCTACACTTGCTGCCTGAGAAGGAGAGAGGCCTCCTGGCAAGTCCTAGGAGTCTTGTTTCTGCCCCTGGCTATAAAATGTGCTGACTCACCTGTGTCTTCTCCCCAGGGGACAGCACATGTTAGGCCCATGGCAGCTTTGACCCAATGGCTGGTGTCTTGGGTTGGGCTCCTCAGAAGCCACCTATGAGACTAGGCTGTGAGCATCACAGTTTATTTGGGAAGTGGTCCCAGGAAGCACAGCTAAGGCCGTGGGGAAGTGAGAGAGGAGGGGAGGGAAGGAAGGTAATAGACGGTTCAGGACTGAACGGGTTAACACTGCAGCTTCCGGGCTCCCCCCCACTGGGGACCTCGGGAGAGTGTGGCCTAGGCCTCAGAATTGCCCCATCTGAGAGGCAAGGAACTTGGGGGCATTTCCTCCCGCCTCCCATCCATCGTGGCTGAGGGCTGCTTCAGGAAGGATTCTCTTCTAGTACTGCCATTGGTTCCACCACTGGGCCACAAAGACTCCCCCAGGTGGAGAGTCTCAGATGCGTGCAGGAGTGGTCTTGGAATCTACTAGAACCAAGAGTGCTGAAGAGACGGGGCTGGGCCACCAGTGTCTGTTATACTCGGTAAATAAATGGTTTCAGAAAGTCATCACTGAACAGATGACATTTTCATTTTTAAACTTTTGTATTCTGTCAAAATACAACCCCAAAGTTACCATTTTAACAACTTTCAAGTGTACAGTTCAATGGCCTTAAGTGCATTCACCTTGTTGTGCAACTCTTACCACTACCCATCTCTAGAACATCTTCATCACCCCAAACGGAAGCTTTGTGCCCCTTAAACAGCTACCCCTCGCTCCTGTCTGCTTCCAGCCTCTGGCAAGCACATTGCTACTCTCAGGCTCAATTAATTTGACGATTTGAAGTGCCTTATGGAAATGGAACCCTTCAATGAGTGTCCTTTTGTATCTGACTCGGATACATTACATTTTAGAATGTACGTATATGTTCTGGAGCCTAGAAATTAAAATTCTGGGGGATCTGCTTTGTAAGAAAAAATTACTCAGTGGTACTAAATGATGTGTGTCTCAAAATTTTCTTTGTAGCGATATGTGTTGAGGTTAAAAAAAACTGGAAATCACCTCTAACAAAAAGGATGCTGATGGAACAAATAATTTGACATCCGTCTTCTGGCCTATCATGCAGCTATCGAACAGGATGAGTAGATTCACATGCATCAGTCTGGTATGGACCATGCTATGCGACGTTTAAGCAAAAAAAAGACAAGTCACAAGTACTATCAGGGAGTTATCTTATTTTTGTTTAAAAAAGACAAGAAAAAGAAAAGAAAGACATTCCGAAAGACACTGTTTGTGGTACATGTGACATATGGTCTGAACATGAGAAAAATGTTGGAATACCCCTGAGTCTAGAGAAAGTGGGGTTTCACTTTTTACAACAGTGTCTTATCACTGCTGAAATACAAATAACAATAATCAAGATCATCATACTACGTAGCATGACCTAGTCATTTTGTTCTCGGTTGTACCCCCAAGTGAAATGAGTGTTTGTGGCCATCAAGTTAGGTCCGAGAATGCTCAGAGGGCAACCATTAGACACACTGGCTAAAAGCTAGAAACAACTGAGTGTCCATTAAAAGTAGATAATCACTATTTATTTATTTATTTATTTTTCTCAATTAAAAGTTTAATTTATCAGGGGCAGCACCTATGGCTCAGTGAGTAGGGTGCCAGCCCCCTATACCGAGGGTGGTGGGTTCAAGCCCAGCCCCGGCCAAATTGCAACAAAAAAGTAGCCAGGTATTATGGCAGGCACCTGTAGTCCCAGCTACTTGGGAGGCTGAGGCAGGAGAATTGCCTAGGCCCAAGAGCTGGAGGTTGCTATGAGCCGTGATGCCACGGCACTTTACCAAAGACAACAAAGTGAGACTCTGTCTCTAAAAAAAAAAAGTTGGCTCGGCGCCTGTGGCTCAAGTGGCTAAGGTGCCAGCCACATACACCTAAGGTGACGGGTTTGAATCCAGCCTGGGCCCGCCAAAACAACAATGACAGCTGCTACCAAAAAATAGCCGGGAGTTGTGGCAGATGCCTGTGGAGGCTGAGGCAGGAGACTCGCTTGAGCTCAGGAATTGGAGGTTGCTCTGTGCTGTGATGCCATGACACTCTACCCAGGGGATAGCTTGAGGCTCTGTCTCAAAAAAAAAAAAAGTTTAATTTATTGTGGCACATGCTATTTTTTTTTCCTTTCTTAAATCATGACTGTGCACACTGATACATTTATGGGGTATAATGTGCTGATTTGATATACAATGTGGAATGCTTACTGATTAACTAATTAACATCCCCATCACCTTGCTTACAACCACTAATTATTTATCCATGTATCAATAAGGTATCACTATATGATCACCCAGGGGAAAATTATACAGCAAAAAACATCGGATACATGCAACAAGAAGGGGTGATCTCTTGGAAATGGTCATGTGCTAAGAAGCCCATCTCCGTGCAGATGAAGGCCAGGTGCCTGTGAAATCAATTTATGTGTTAAAGGTCAGGATAGTCCTTACTTATCTTGGGGGTGGTGGGAGGCAGGAAGGGTGCTAACTGGGAAGAAAGGGCACGAGGGCGCCGGGAACTGTCCTATACCTTGACCTGAGTGGCGATTTTCTGAATATGTGTAGTCATGCATTGCCTATTTTGCTGTTGTGTGAGCATTCTAGAGTACACTTGTGCACACCTAGATGGTACAGCCGGTGGGTATGGTACACACCTAGGCCATGTGGTCTCCCCTGTTGCTCCTGGGCTACATGCCTGCACAGCATGTTACTATGCTGAGTACTATATGCAACTGTAACACCATAGTAAGTATCTAAACCAGTGGTTCTCAACCTTCCTAATGCCACAATGTATTTTCATTGCTAAAAAGGCCTTGCAGCCCACAGGCTGAGAACTGCTGATAAACCTATCTAAACATAAAAAGTGTACAGTAAAAGTATGGCATTATAATCTTATGGGACCACCATTGTTAATGCCGTCAGTTGTTGACTGAAATGTCATCGTGCATGACTGTGGATGTAAAACTTCATCAAAGGCTGAGAGATGTATGTACCTATGGTACATGTCAGATTTCAATTAGTAATAGTCGCACCTTGGATAAACCTCATTGGCTACGATACTGCCATTGCGCAAAGCTCAGATTTCAATAAATAAGAAAAAACTAGCAATCGAGAGAGGGGAAAAGAGACCAAGAGGGGGAGGGAAGGAGAAAGGACGGGAAGGAAGAAGGGAATATGTCAAGTAGAAAGAAGTGAGCACACTCTTCTTGTGGCTCTATCTTGAAGAGGAGTAACAAATACAGAATCATGCAGGCAGCCAGGCGCACAACCCTGGGTTTAATGCAGGAAAACGCCCCCCAACCCCATTTCTCTGTCTTTGATGGGAGCCTGCTAAATTACAGAACTCTGTGCAGGGAGGCAGGTGCCTTGAGCTGTGGGGTTGGGCAGAATCCCGGCTGCGCCATGCCCTAACTGGTGCTCTGTGGCCAGGCTCGCTGCCTTTCTGAGCCTGAGAGCCCGTGGGCAGCCCACTGCCCTCGCAGACCCTCCAAGAGGCCGGCAGGAGATGCTGGAGTTCTGTCTCTGTGCCTGGCTCCTGCTAGGCACTGACTCAACATGGCCTCCCTTCCCCTTGCTCTGCAGAACGAGAGAGCAGCGAGGTCTGTTAACTTTCTGGACAGAGGGCTTTTGACAGGTGAAAGCATTTGAGAAAGAAAATCCATGCAGTAGAGTGGATGATGGGGAATTTCTTGTTATAAAAAAAAATTAAGCTTCCAACTCAAGCAAGCCCTTGGTGAAATTTAAGCATTTTTCTGATTATGTATCTAATATTGACCAGAAAGAGGAGGGAGTGGGAGTAGATAAAAGACACTTCTTAGTCAAAACTAGCTTTTTCCTTTTTCCATATGCTGTGTTTATGATTATGGGTTTTAGAGCATTTTTCTTCTTGTATTTCATAAAATACCACATCTATTCACATAATTCACCCCACTGCCCTTTCCCTGTTATTTCATTGCAGAGGAGGGAGGGCAAGGATCGGGTGAGCCTCTGGGGGCTGGCTCTCCACCTCCCTGGCAGACTCCTTCGTGCTCTGAGTCTTCCCGGTGCCCAGTGACTCACCAGGAGTTACCCAGCCGTCAGCGGCCGCTCTTAGCCATTTCTTCCAGAAGTCCCTTTTTCTGTGAGCTTTTACTCCACTGTGTGAAAAAAAAAAAAGGCTGCTGAAAGAGGAGGCATGTGCTTGTGTGTGGGTGTGAGAGGGGGTGTGTACCTGTCTTTAGGGTCTGTAGGTTGTGGGTTCTGGTGAGAGGCAAGTCTTAAATGAAAGGGCTGTGACTGGAGCCTGAGGACAGCTGCTGCAGGAATGTAGTGTGAGCACGGTGGGGGCTTACACTGGCAGGGTGGGGTTGTGGGGGAAGAGCCATGTAAGGAGTTGAGGCACCCGCATGGAAGTGGCTGGGACAAAGCGGGAGGACACTTCCATTTGTGTACAGCATCAACTTGGACAAAGATCTCAAAAGGCAGGAGCCAGGGAGAATCTTTCTTGGTCCTCTCTCTTAGGCAGGTAGAAGGTTCCCTTGCAATTGTGGCATCTGAACCCTCCACTAGGTAGAAAGGCAAGCTGGGGGCCCTCCTCGTGCTTCCCGGAACCTTGTTACATGTGCCACTCACTGTCTGCACCTCGCCTGAGTTTACAAGTCCCTATCCAGATAAGGAGCACTGGAGGGCAAGGAGTGGGCCTTCCCCATCTCTCTGACGCTAGGCAGAGTACACAGGAGGTGCTCAATAATAGCTATGGTTGGAAAGAAAGTGAATAAAGTGACATCCCTGTGTTAGTCCCTGCTGTGCTGGAGATTGAACCTGCTTGGCTCTACAGGGAAGACAGAGAACCTGGGGCCAGCCGGCTGAGAGGGTGGCAGGCTGGAGGAGGAGGTTTAAGGACAGCCCTTCCTCTTCCTTTGGCAGGAGCTCTTCCCTTTGCACCTCCTGCCATCCAGGCTTCAAACAACCTGAGGCGTTGGTGCCAAGATCCCCAGCATACAGATGAGAACACCAAGGCTCAGAGAGGCCAGGTGGGCCCAAGTTCACACACAGTGAGCAAGGGGTGCAGCTGGGGTCTGAACCGGGCTGCCAAGTCCCCCCTCTCTCTGCTCCTCCACACCACCTTCTTGCAGAGTGGGGTCCAGCACTTCCCATGAAACCAGGCCCGTCACGTGAGGAAGGAGAGGGTGGCCACACAACCTGGGTCATATCGTGAGGTGAGCTGCTCTAGGTGGCTCTTGGAAGCTCATCTGACCCTGGCCACTGGCTTGGAAGCCAATGTTTTCTAGAAAAGCTCCCTTATCAGTAGGTTCTCTTAATTCTAAGCAGAAAGCCCATGAGTGAAGGAAGCCCAAGATAGGCCTATCTGAGAAAAGCCCAGTAGACACTTACAGGGGCCGTTCTACCACCTCAACAACACTTGTCTTGACAGGATTATCCCAGGGATTGCCAGGGTGTAGTCTGGCCACCTCCAAAACAGATTCTTAGAAATGAGCCATCCTACCCAATAGCTCCATCAGAAGACGGGAGATGGAGGGCCAGAGAGGATGACGGAATTAACATCACAAAGTAGCCCAGCAGAGCTGCTGCCCAGAACTCTTGACCTTGGTTAGGACATTCTGTTTTGTTGCACGGAGGTAAGCAGCAGTCCGTAGAATGGCTGTCTCCAAATGGTCCCCTGAGGGTGGCAATGCAGCCGAGAAAGGGGTCGCCTCTGCATCCCCAAGGACTCAGCAGGCCGAGGTCCTGGTGCACATCTCTCCACTGCTTTCTGGCTGTGAGGAATCCCCCACGTAGAGATGCACAGGCAGGCAGAAGCCACAAGGGGTGGGAAGTGCCTTCATATCCAAATATAAGCATCCCTGTCCTTTCCCAGAGTCCTCCCCGATGGGTGGCCACCCTGGGCTGCCCTTTCCTTCTCAGGGCACCTGACAGAGATGGGGTATCTGGGTTGGAGCTGCAGAGATGTGGGGAGGTTTCATGTGGGGTTACATGAGAAAGCTTTTATACGTTGCCCTGGCCTGGGATGGGCATGTCAGAGATGATGGACAAAGATGAATTTCACGGCCCTCCCCTCGCCACCAGCAGAACTTGGACCCGAGAATCTGGTCACATTGTACGTGACCAGAAAAGCTGGAGACCTCAGGGTGGTGCTGCTTCGGGAAGCCAGCTGTGCCCAGATGTTTGAGATGCACATCTGCCTATTCTGTGCTAAATCCTTCTGCCGTAAAGAGGTGTTGTGTGGGGCGAAGACACCAGCTGGAGTTATAATGAGCAGAGAAGGTGGGAAACTCACTTAGCTGGTGGAGGCCCCTCTGATAAAGCAAGGATGTGTCCAGGACACACACTGGGCAGCCTGTTAAGAGCCCCTCGGTCTGTTGGTGGTCTGGGTCAGCCCCTACTCCTCAGCTCCTACCCCTGCAGAGAGCAGAACAGAACTTTCAGCTAATTATCTGCCTTCCAGGGGATTCTCCCTCAGATTTGGGGATTTGGGGTCGGGAGCCGTTGCTGCTAATTGGTGTCTTCCCGATAATCCTCAGATTAAGTCTGGGAGGATTACTCTAAAGAGGTGAGAAGGTAATACTCAAAATAAACACGAGTGCCCTTCCTAAATGCATTCTCGCCAGCAAGTAAAATAATCTGTCCCCGCGAGCCCATTCCTAAAAGATTTAAATACTACTTCTGGAGAGGGGTGGATGGGATACACAGTAGATTTCCACTGATTCTGACTTCTTCCGACATCTTTTAGAGACTTCATTTCTGCACTGTTTGATTCCCTTTGACTATTGTCAAGTTAAGTTTACTAAAAGCTGGGGAAGACTTTGTTCCGGGCAGGGGGACCGGGGAGCCACTGGTGGATTAGAAACACGAGCCCATCCCCAGCTTGTCCGTCCACCCCAGCATCATTTTATTTCTGCATTTCTGAAAGGCTCCAAGTAATCAATTCCAGAGGATGAGCTAGGGGAACATTGGCAAAGGGGCCTCGCTCTTGGCTATTGCCATGAATATTTGACACAGCTAATAGAGTCTCCATGGGGCCCAAAATGTGGGCACTCAGAAATCTGCAGTGTCCAGTGAGAGTTTATGCTCTGACGGATGCTGCCCTCCATGGAGGCCCTTGAGCAGGAAATGAACGTTCGAGATTCTAGCTCAAGAGTTTCTAGCTCATGAATTTTCATGCTCTGCAGGAAGAGAATCTTCAAAACTGGTTGATAATCACAGTTCACATTTACTGAGCATCTATTGTCTACCTGGGCTGTGCTAAGTGTTGGCAGTCACCCTCTCACTTAACTTGAAGACAGCTTGCTCAGGAAGGATGAATCATTGTCCCCAGTTCCCAGATGAGCTAGCCAAGGCCCCTGGGCAGTAAGTGGCAGGGCAGGATCACACACAGGTGCTGCCTGTGCTCTGCCCCAGTGGGAAGGAGCGGGAAGAGTCCTCTCTCAGTTGCTGAGTCTCCTGAGTGAGCACCAAGTGGCCCTGTGCCGGCACCCTTGGGCTACTGAACTGACCTCCAAAGGTGTGGACATGAGGCATCTAAGCTAAGAGGCGTAGGTGGCAGAAGCCTGGCTTCATCACAGCCTCCCCTCCAAGCAAGCCATTTGTCTTCCTCGGTTTTCCTCCAGGGACAAGGAATTCATCTCTCCCCGAGGCAGCGCGCATCCTCTAACGGCAGCTCTCTGCCTCCTGGAACCTTTCTCTGAACTGAGATCTGCGTCTGGTAGGTTCTCCCAGCCTCAGAGGAAGTGAGGCTCCCATCCCTGACCCCACAGGCCCACAGGGGCGCACGTCTGTCTCAGGCCTGCAGAAATGAAAAGATAATTCCCAAATCGCCTCTTCTTAGTCACAAATGTTCGAACTTTTTTCCTTCAACCCAGTAACAGCAGGAAGCTAAGAAGAAAACAGGCTTTTCTCTGTAACTCACTTGAAAACCATTTTTGAGGCCAACCTAGGAGTGTTCTGCTCCTCTTGACACGGTGCCCAAAGGACGCAGGAGGACAGGGGCGTTTGGTGGCATGGCTTTGGATGCACCGGAGAGATGGAGAGATGGGCTCTGGCCCTAGAGGCTGAAGCCTGGGCTCTCAGCTTTAGGCCC